TTGAGCGACTCAGATAAGGTCTTCATGTTCAGATTTTTCTATTTGTGCCCAAAATTTATATCAGATGTTAAGTGTAATTGATTCTTTGGAATTTTCGGCACTTGATGAAGGCTCTTAAATTATAAATTTCGTGTCATTATTAGGATTTCGCTTTCTAGCGAATGCCGGAGTTGTACGAGGAGAGATAATAAAAATTCTAAGTTTCAATTTTTGATTTATTTGAGCTAGCTGGACAGGTGTTTTGTGGGTGGTGCAGTTGACCGCACGCCATTGCCCACGGCAATATTACGAGTATATTCGATATAATGTCGGTTTCACAGTATGTACTATCTTGTGGTTAAGTGCCATAATTATATATTTTTTTATGATCTTGGCATATTTCTGCACTCCTCCCTTTATCTTTGTCATAGATATACCAGAAAGAGACAATGCCTAATAAAATTGGACTAGTAAAACCAAAAAATGTATTGCCATCATGATCTGATCACCAGAAACAGAGATAGAACCACCAATTCGAAGAGTATGTAACGCTGAGCGGCTAACACTATTACGTTGCCTGTAAATTTGAGTAAAGGGAAAAGTTTTCGTAGATCTACCAGAGAAAGACCAATTTAATAAACCCTTGTAACGGTAGCTCTAATTTTGGATTTAAATTTTTGAGGTTTGAGTAATTTAAGGACTGAGCACCATCGAAATTTTCAGGTTGTACAGAATTTAGCGGTTCGAAATTATTTCCCAGATAAACAGTGGTTTTGGAGGAATCTGGAAGAATAAATCTCTATTATTTTAACACAGAAGAGAATAGCGCCATCAAATTTTAATTTCATTTCATGATTGTGGTCGCTGGAAATCACGCAATGAAAAGAATTAAGAAAACAATGACGATCTTTGAAAATCTTTTAATTAGCGTGACTAAGAAAATACATTCTAATAAAGATGTAACTATACTCATTTACATCTGTAATTCTAATAAACGTACACTATGATAAGTAAGAATCTAAAATGTATACTGGGGACGTTATCGTCAGTGTATTTGCTACCAACTCGATTATTATGAAACAGTTACACTGAATTCGAGACAAACGACGGAGTTCGAATTATCCAAAATTCTTAGCTTCGCAGTAAAAGTTCCCTAAAAAGAATGAAGTGACTCTAACTTCTGAACGATGCAAGTTATACCCACCGATGGAGCATCGCTTGGCACAGTTTGCGAAATAACGATGACTCGAGTATCGCCTACCAGTAAGGGACATGATGTGAGGGTGCACAAATTGGCTTCGTAAAAAGTTATCGGAAAGCCGAGAAAATTTGTAGCCATCGATATAGTAGGTGTCGTATTTGACCCAATAATTATAACTGCAATAAAATAGGCATCACTGTAATGGATTTTTTTCCAATTACGAAATTCTACTTACGAGCGGTAGCGTTTAGGGTTATCTGGACGGTAGAACCTTTCGTGACTTGGCAAGGCGATGCAGTACAGTCGTTCAGTTGGAAGTGATTAACGGTGACACCGTTAACATTAGATGGACCTGAAACAGAGCAAAACTATTATCCCATCGGGATTTGGTACGGTTAGGTAGGTACATATGCTGAAAGGCGTATCAGCGAAAACCCCAACGACCAAAGTGGTAAAAATGAAGAAAGCTTGAAGAGACATTGTGAACTAAATTCTTCAAGCCGTGAGAGCTATTTTATATCAAACGCAACTTAAACAAAGAGTTAACAACCCTTTCTTTGAGCAAACTGTATGTATGATGTAGATAAATATTTTTTCCATTCTATGGCTATAAATTACTAAAACTTAATATACAAACAAGTAAAAACAATAGATAACACGTAGATTTACGTAAAACTGCACAAATAACGTCGGCAATATTTCACGTATTTAGATATGCATCAAAATAACGACGAGGGTCGTAAGTAAATATTTATTGAAATCGCTATCTCTTTTCGTTCTCGAGGTAGACGAGGAACAGACGGACAGACAAACGGACGAAACCATCACATAGTGGGTATCTATGTTACCCGTTTTAGGGGAATTTTTCGAAAGAATAAAAATTCCTCTAAAATTTACGTTAAATAAAAAAATACTTTGCGAGGCACAAATAACTAAATTTCTATTGATCAAATCAATTTAAAATATAAACAAGCCGATTTTTCGGGGTAAAACAAGAAACGTGACTAAAACTTGTAAATATTGGCTTCAAAAACGGCAAACCAATTAATATCAAGAATATGAAACGTAGTTAAACTAATAAAAATGAATTCTCGGAGTCACACAAAAGTAATCGTAGGTAATGTAGCTCAAATCCGGTCTGGATAAGCATATTCTTCAGCAACGACACGCGTAGTGTACGTAAAATCAAATGTATCGAGGCAATTTACACGAGTGATGTTATCCGAACGGTTCGTTATGAGTTACGATTAAATTCGGGAACAATTATTGAAGCATAGATCAACAGCCTTCGTGTGGAAGTAGGTTCGTAGAATTGAAGTAGAAAATTCCCAGCCGGTAATGTAGAAACTCATCTATCGATTGACGTTCCGTTCAGTAGAACTGCTTCTATCCTTCATGGTACTCTAATGAAAGGTCTCAACGAAAGAAATTAATTTCTACCAACCATAGTCCTCCTCTTAGACCTTGTCGTGATCGGATATATTTCCTTATATCTCGAGAACGGATTGTCAGAAGAGGGCAATTGAGACATCTTGGTCTTGGTCAAAATTTTAAGAGCGAATATCTCGAAAACGGTTTGTCGGAGTAACGTACTCTCAAAGGCAAAATGAATCGACTTACCTATTGGGGAAGTCGAAGCAATACCTTGACAACGAAGTGTTTGAAGAGGGTACTCATAAAAGGCAAGTGGAACGTCAGGAAGAGACGTATCTACTGGTGATGTCAAAGTTTTCAGTGCAAATATCTGCAGAATGGAGTGTCGGAAGATTTTGATTGTATGCCAGACGGCCTTTAAATGTTAATGTGTATATTTCGGTTTAAAAAAATGGGCTATCGATGGCTTAAGTGTCTTGATGTAGTACCTCCAACTTCACGGCCCTTTTTAATTATGGATTCTGACTCCAACAAGTATACTACATTAGTTTTCTTTTGAACTGGCACAAGGCATATTTTGTACTCACGCCTTAAAAGTGATTGATCCCTATCGGGATTTCTCTGTATATCTGTTCCAAAATTAAGTACAAAGCCAATCATACATTGGATTTTTAAAACGATGGGGCGAGGACAAAATGTACTTAGTTTAATAATATACATGGTAACATCTTTATTAAACAATATACCCCTACGTCAGCATATTATCAAAAAATTTCCAAATGTACCTATTTATTTGCGAAAGACAAACCTATTCTCTTATTCTTATCTGAATACGTTAAATACAATGTGCAAGTTTTATTAATTTATATTTATCGTTTGTTATTTAATAAACAGTCTGGTTTTTGGAGTTGATCAAATATTGTGTTCCTTTGACTACACGTCGTGTATGTACTTGCTAAAATTGCACAACTATTTGTTCTCTTTTAGGTCCAACTGACCTCGAAAGGGCGCCTTACGCGATTTGCTCCACCCTTTCGCGACGGGAGCATCCCTCCATCGTAAGAAGCGTCTTACTGCCCCGAACAGTTCTAGGTATATGTTTCGCGAACCCCTAAAAACCGCTAAGACCCGCCTTGAAATTGTTGCCATCCAGAGAAGGATTCGACTGACCTATTTCTTGAAAAGCTATTCACCCTGTAAATACACTAATCCCCAAAAAGGATATACCTGTGGTAGTTTGCCAAATATGAATACTCGCTAATAGCCAGCAAACTTATTGAGAAAAAAAGCACCGACATTGTTGCTGTTTTACACCCTGGTTTCAAAATTTGAGAACAACGAAGAAGTACTCATACCAAATATTTCTGCGAATTGCTGAATTGTAATGGAATGAACTTTGCATTAGCTCAAAAGAAGCGCTCTTAAAAAACTTTAATTTTGACAACGTCCCGTATTTTTTAGACGGCTGGATTATTAATTAAACAGTTTTCAATTTTCGAAAATGGTCGAAGGAATAGGCGTATTCCAGTTGTCCTTACACGAAATGGCCGGTTAGATAAACAGAAAACGCACCACGAAAAGGGATCTTTTATCTTTTAATTTTATGTAACCCAAACAACTCATACGCACGCATTCTGTACTGCTATAATTCTGGATTTTACATTAGTGTCTTTTTAAGGAAGACATTAGGAAATCTCCATGTCTACTTCTTAATAAATATCACTGTATAGCAAACAATCATACACAGGGTGTTCCTAAATATAATTTACATAGGGAAGGGACTAATTCTTTGGTTTATTTTATCACCAAAAATTCATATAAACATTCGTACCCATCTAGAGGGTGTTATAATATCATGATTTTTTAAATTCTTCTATATACCTGTTGCAGTTTTTGAGATATTTGGCGCATAAACAGTCAAATGGATTAAAGAAACTCAATTAAATCCAGGGCATATAGAACCATTTTAAAAATGTTTACGCACTACGAATATTTCGCGAATACATTAATAAATACGTTTCACGGCCATTAAATTCTCCCGTGTTTCGTCTCAAAATCACATTCGCGTTATACAATTGTTCTTTTGAATGCGGTATTTACTAAGTAAACTGCGTATCGCATACAATTTAGAATGTCGAAATCGAAAATAAAAAACTTTTCACAATTAAATCGCTTAACGAATGTTTGTATGTGCAGACTGTAATACCTGAACCTAGGATTATTCATTTTTAATTAAATCCGTAATTGTAACCGTAAATACGCGGACAGGGTGCATTGAATTCAAGAACTGCGCATGCGCTTAGCTATTTATACTAAACTAATAAGGGAACCGACGCAACTTTTGAGTCTGACGTCTATTTTCAAACCGATAGCAAAGCAACATCTTTTCGGATTCTTTACGGATCCTGCAACATACACTATAAGTAAATTAACAAATTGAACTAATTTATTAAAAACAACTTATTAAATTATCAAAAAAATGTGTAAATGACTAGTGATGGTTGAGTAATTCTTCCATTGCAATTTGTTGTTGCCTATCCTTCTCCATCATGTCCTCATTGCCTGACCAAATTCGCGTACCGAACTTGATCAAATTGCAAACGAATCGTAGCGTGAGGAAGTAGATGATTTCCATGAGGGAGGTGAACGAGAATCCGCAAAGAAGCCCCAGGAAGCCGCCGCAGTTCGCCAGGAAATCGAAAAGGCCATAGAGTTCGTTGCGCTCCGACGTCATGAACTGAAGATTCTTGTAGTAGACGATAAGTCGCGAGAAATGATCCCTGGCAATGCCTTTTTTAATTTGAAGATGGTTTGGTGTACCTACCTCTCATAGGTAATGTTGAAGTTCTGATCGTGTTCTTTGAAATGGTAGGTTTTTCGCCAATTCCATTCGGTTTGTGAGACTTCCGCGTCGAATGTCAGTGACGTGCATGTCGGTAAACAGTTGCATTTTTTGGACTGGTTAACGTGCTCTGATAAAAAGTCATTGTCCAAAAAGGAGACTAAATGGAGTGGTTAAAGTACGTTAAACCATGGCTAGGTATTTTACCTCGAGCTTCTTCCAGGCATTTTCTGCTTCCGGCTCCACACACTGGAGTGACTTCCTCGTTAGCTAAAGGGGATCATGGTGACACAAATAATTAAAAAAAAATCTTACACAGCATATAAAATCCCGCACAGCCGCACACTTTCAAGCTGTAATTGGCAAGGCACTCGACCATGCAGTTTTGTTGAGTGTAGATTTTATAATTGCTCAGTTGCCTTTCGCCGGGTAAATAGCAAAGGCGATCGTCGAGGCTATACGATTTGATTTCATCCGACGTACTGATCATGCTAGGTTTAATGGCGACAACCACCGCCGTGTCCATGGGAACCCTGAAGTGTGTATCCATATTTGGTACTTCGGCCGGATTATGTAGCGTCACCTGAAACACCCAAACTGACTTGGAGACCTACGATTCGGGTGGGGATACCATGAAACCGCTGATCTCGTTACACAAATAGTCCAGGTTATCGTCATCGGTAAACAAATCTAATTGCAGACCTGCTTTGACACCCGTAAGCATTGTTCTTCTGGGATGGGTGTTGAAGCCCGCACCTGGTGGGTAGCCACCATCGAAACTCCACAGCTCTTCTTCATCGGTGGAGTTCTCCGATAATTCACTGTCAAAATTGAAGTTATGCGAGGAAACGAAAGCGACATTTACCCAGGGTCCGTGTACACCTCGTTAGGGGGCAACATGTTGAACGTTCTGCACCACCCTTCACTCGTTAAGATGTACGAAAAGCTGTCATCGCAGTTTAGGTCTTCGCCCAGCCACTTGCAATGTTCAGCCTGTAAGTCTGCAAAGGACTAATGAATTTCTATTAGTGTGGTCTGGTGTAGAGTTAATTCTTAGAGGACTTGATCACCCCAAATAATTTCAAAGATCACTGTAATTTAAATGATTTTAAGATAGAAAACGGATTTTGTCGACTTTTCTGTGGTTGAATTGTAGCACTAATTTCATTGTCAGAATTCTATCACAATTCTAGGAGTGGAGATGCTAAACGTCAGTGAATTTTTCAAAAAATTTAAATTCCTGAGAAACACACCCTGTAGATACCTTTTTGAAAACATTGATCTATGCAGTTTTCCCGAAAATTTAATTTAATTTCAAAGAAAATTTTTTTTAAATATTTTTAAAGTCATATCATTCCATTTGATTTTTTTTATTTTTGTAGGAGTCTGGGTCATAGCGTTAAAACTAGCCCCCTGGGGGAGAAGAATTCAACTACATTAACAATATTTTGGTTGATTCTCATTGCCCAAGGATAGCTCTTTTCAACCATACCAAATTTGTTAAAATCGGTCAAACGGTTAAGAAGTTAAAGCAGGTTATTGCAAAAACAATTGAACGCCCCACGCCATCTTTGTTTTTGAAATAACTGAGTTTTTGTTTTTGTTTTTACGAAAATGATAGATAAACTGGTTCTCTTTAAAAATGTGAAACAATTTTTTTAGTTTATTATTCGAAATTTAAAGAAAATGCAACTTTAAAATTTAAGATGGCAGTTACGCCCTCTGTTGGTCAATTTTAGAAAACATTTTCCAGCGATTCTTCATGACCGATTTACCCAATAATTTTTTTTACCCCTAAGTCATATGACGAACGGTTCTCGAGATATTGCCGAGAAACGGACATATTGGATCACCCGGTACTTATTTCCTTAAAAACCACAACACCGCTCTTTTATAATTTTCCAAAAAAATTCTATGCCAGAATGACATGCCCCTAAGGAGAGGCAAGGAAAAGATTCCAGAAAAAAATCTAATTATTCTAAAAGATCTTATGGATTCTAAAAGTCCTAAGTCATATGACGAACGGTTCTCGAGATATGGCCGAGAAACAGACATATTGGGTCACCCGGTACTTATTTCCTTAAAAACCACAACACCACTCTTTTATAATTTTCCAAAAAATGTCTACGCCAGAATAACATGCCATTAAGGAGAGGCAAGGAAAAGATTCCAGAAAAAAATCTAATTATTCTAAAAGATCTTATAGATTCTAAAAGTCCTAATTATTCTATTCAGATTTTGGAGTTCTAAAAGGAATATGATAGGAAATTTCTGAGTCTGCCAGAAAATAGTAAGACGATTCTAAGAGCTTAAGAAGAGCCAAGAAGGCTCTAGAGAAATTCTACAAGACTCCTAAGATCACCATAAAAAGGTTATACGAAGGCTCTAAGAGTTATGAAAGTTTTAATAGTGCCTTTTCCTTTCATTTAAGATTAATAGACAGGGTGTTGATACAATTTTGGTTATATTTTAGATTTCGTGTACGTAGTCTACTACGGAACTTTAACATGTGTTTTATATTTTAACAATTCGCAGGAAGGCGACTTTAAAATTATGATGTTATCGGCTTGTGCGATGAGTCGAGGTGTTGTTTCTTGTATGTGGGGGGCGTAAAATATATATTGAATTGTTTCTTGTATTGTCATAATCCGCCACACAAGAATGCGCTGTCATTTCTATCTCACACGAGGACTTTGATAATTGTTTCCTTCTTTGTAATCAATGAAGTCCCTAGAGCTATTCTGTATTTGTATTTCATCGTTTTTGTTTTAAACTATTTAATTAAATTTCACTCTCACTCGCTTGGATCCGGTTTGTGTTTTAAATTCGACGACTTTTAGCACTTTTAATCGCGTAACATTTTATTTTCAATTCAAGGTTCGAGACCAAGCCGTATAATCGAAGTATACAAAAGAATTGTCAGTCGCGTAATCGTACGGTTTATTTTATTGCGGAAAATTGAAGTTAATTACCGAATTCCAAAGGAAAACTGTGCCGCCATTTCGACGAAATCACGTGCATGCTTTTTGAATTCATTGTGAGTTGCGAACAAAACCAATAACCAATAATAATAAAGTGCAAAAAGACCGACTGGATGATTTATTTTTAACCTATGAATAAAACAGTGGCAAGTGCGAAAACTTACCCCTAAAAACATGGAAAATTCGTCATCGGTCATCAATTTTGTAGCATTTTGATCTATGAATTCCAAGCGTTCGTTGCAGATCGTCGAGTATAACTTAAAATAAGTATCCCTAAAACAACACAATATCACCGCCAGTCTAAAGAAGTGTCGCACTTACTCCTCCTCGGTTGTGTTCTCCTCCCTCCTATATTTTAGGTAGACGTCACTGTAGTTAAACACCTTAGGATGAGCGTTCACTTCCGGGCAAATTGTAATTGCCGGAAACGGAATGTCCCATATCGGCGTTTCGCTGGTGGCAAAAGTGACGACGACCGGCGACGTTTGCCACTTATAGTACGACTTTCTAATTAACGCCGAAGACGAGCTCAACGCGATCAGGATAACGCTCATCCACCATATCCTGAAACAAAGCCGCGGTGAACGTCAGTCGTTTGCCGAATCGTTCAGTACTTCTCGGGAATGTAGCGCTTTCGTTCGCCCAAAAACTTGAAACCGTGAATGGAGGTGTTGTCGCAAAACTCGCAGAAGTAGTTGAGGGTGTTCTTGCCGCAAGTCGGCTCCTTCCTCACGAACGGAAATGTTTTCACTTTCAAAGTGGACGAATCTTTGAAAGGCGTTTCTTCGTCGTCCTGGAGCTTCTTCAGTTTTCTGCGGGTCGTGGAATTCACTTTTCCCTCATTGTTTCTTGCTAGAATCACTTTTGAGAGCATTAGAAATTTTTACATCCACGTCAAGCTTCTTTACGTTAATGCGATTGTTATTTAACGTAAATTAAACAAAGTCATTTAACTGAGTATGATTTTTCCAACTTCTAATTAGTGAAAATTGTTCATTAAAAAATTACGTACGGCTGAGACATCAAAAACATAATTAATTTAAATGAAAAACAAACTCAAGTGCAAATATGAGGTTGAGCACCACTAGTAGCAGCCTACTCCCATCGCATTTTTTACAAAGAGCAATGAATTTTTTTAATTGAATTCATTTGTTAATTAATCAGATTTTAGCGTGAAAATCCACGGAGAGAAATGATTAAAAACAGACTGGATTTAATTGGAGTAAGTGAAACAAGATGGAAGGGGCACGGACAGGGTTTATTGTCAGTAAAGAACTCTTCAGGTGTGTAACCAAAGTAATTTCCCTCCTCCCTTACCAATTTTTCAAATTTGACGTTGTATTTTTTATGATCGTTTGCGCCACACTTGTCTACGTTTGCCCCGTCGTTTTTCAGTTATTCCAAAACCCAAAATTCCACACGCCCCCCCACCCGCGCAAGATGGGCGGAGTCAAAACAGATGCGGCCGCCGAAAAGTTCCTCCGCCGGAACGCCTCGTCCCCCGAAACTCGGCAAAATGAGGGTACAGTATGGAATGTTGTCAAAAACGGTGGGGGCACAAACATGCGCATTCCAAGCACAATCATTCGCCCTGTGAAAAAGTAATTATTTGGAAAATTGGGGAGGGGGCAGTTATGAATCCTCCCTCCCCCCCCATTTGATTCGACCGCGCGCGCAAACAAAAATCAGTCTTGTGCAAACGGGCTCATGCAATCCATTTCAAAAGCGATTTTTTGCTTCCTAAAATTGGGGGGGGGGGGGCAAATTCACACAGGTAATTCCCTTTGAATTCTTTTAAAATTTCCCCCTCTTTCCCCAAAATTTAGTAACATTTCCTCGGAATTTTCCTTAATTTCGTCCATTTCCTACACATTTCCCAACCATGTCCTTGAAATTTCCTACATGACGGACAAGAATTTCCTTCGTGATCGACCCCTCGGGGTTGGTTAGTGCTTATCTTAGGAGACAAAGATCCATTGCCTAAAAATTCTAGTAAAAATTGCTACAATTTCCCTTAACTTTCCCAACATATCTAGCATTTCCACAAATTTACACAAAATTTCTCTGAATTAACATGAAATGAATATAGAAACCTTTTATTTCCTTAAAATTTGCTCTAGATTTCCTCATATTTCCTCAAAATTTCAGACTTTTCCCTAGGATTTCTTTATTCTTTTGAAATTTCCTCCTCTTTCCACAAAATTTAGTAATATTTCCTCGGAATTTTCTCCGATTTCGTCCATTTCCTACACAATTCCCAACTATTTCCTCGAAATTTCCTACGTGAGGGACAAGAATTTCCTTCGTGATCGACCCCTCGGTGTTGATTAGGGCTTATCTTAGGAGACAAAGATCCATTGCCTAAAAATTCTAGTAAAAATTGCTACCATTTCCCTTAACTTTCCCAACAGATCTAGCATTGCCACAAATTTACACAAAATTTCTCTGAATTAACGTGAAATGAATACAGAAACCTTTTATTTCCTTAAAATTTGCTCTAGATTTCCTCAAAACTTCAGACGTTTCCCTAGGATTTCTTCATTCTTTTGAAATTTCCTCCTCTTTCCACAAAATTTAGTCATATTTCCTCGGAATTTTCTCCGATTTCGTCCATTTCCTACACAATTCCCAACTATTTCCTCGAAATTTCCTACATGAGGGACAAGAATTTCCTTCGTGATCGACCCCTCGGTGTTGATTAGGGCTTATCTTAGGAGACAAAGATCCATTGCCTATAAATTCTAGTAAAAATTGCTACAATTTCCCTTAACTTTCCCAACATACCTAGCATTGCCACAAATTTACACAAAATTTCTCTGAATTAACATGATATGAATATAGAAACCTTTTAGTTGCTTAAAATTTGCTCTAGATTTCCTCATATTTCCTCAAAATTTCAGACTGTTCCCTAGGATTTCTTCATTCTTTTGAAATCTCCCCCTCTTTCCCCAAAATTTAGTAATATTTCCTCGGAATTTTCTCCGATTTCGTCCATTTCCTACACAATTCCCAACTATTTCCTCAAAATTTCCTACGTGAGGGACAAGAATTTCTTTCGTAATCGACCCCTAGGGGTTGGCTACGGATTATTAATTTCCCAGACATTTCTAGTATTGCCTTAAATGTTCCCGAATTAACGTAAAATGAGTAACGTGACTTCCAGCTTTTATTTCCTTAAAATTTAAGGTAGATTTCCTCATATTTCCTCAAAATTTCCCTATTTTTCCCTAGGATTTCTTCATTCTTCTGAAATTTGCTCCATTTCCCCCAAAATTTAACAATATTTCCTAGGAATTTCCTCTAATTTAGTCCATTTCCCAACTATATCCTCGAAATTTCCTACGTGAGGCCAAGAATTTCCTTCGCGATCAACCCCTCGTATAAAGTAACAAGCGCGGTGAGAAATGCAATTCTATTTGAGATGTAAATAGAATAAATTAATATTTATACTGCACTACGTGTGTATATTCGGGATGAGATAAATGAAGCGGATCGGTGAAATTAAAGTAAGTGCTAGGAGAACCGAGTTAAAATACGTTTACCGCACCTGAATGTTAAATGAGAAAAAGTTTGAAATAGTTTAAACAATTCCGGATTGTAAGATGATTGGGTCAGATTTTAATACGGCAATACCTATAAGTATGAGTGTAAGTGGTGGGAAAGAAAATAAGAACCGTTTCATAATTTAATAATAGTTATTTACATAAGTCAGGAAAATGACACATTATTGGCGAGGAAATATTGAATAGGGCCGAGTACTTTAATTTCCGAGTCAAGTAGTGCCATTTTCCTTAACTGTGCCTTAATTTTCTGTAATTTTCGAGTGTAATTTTTTAAACTTTATTGAGTTTTGGGCATCTTAGACAAAGCGGAAATTAGAGTTATGTGCCTAAGAAACTTCTAACCCTCATTTAGAAAATGACATCGTGAGCCCCGTTTGGAACAAATTCAAAGATACAAAACTAAACCACACGTTTTCCACGCATAATAAATAAATAACCTTTATTTTAAAGAGGATGTTAAATTGACATTTTAATAGCTCTAGGTTTGAATGACTAGGCTAAGTCGCCATTTAATCGTGAGCCTAGATAATGCGATCACTTGAACCACAAGAGTAGATAAAGTAAAACAAATGATTGTGCATTCTAGTGACATCTGTCATTATTATTTCGAATGGGACGCGGAGCACGAAATAAAATGAGGTTCAGAACATAATACAATGCTGTTTCTATGGAAACGACCGCGGCGCGCAGAACCTAAGCTTGCGATTTTTGACGTCTAAATTAAATTCAGGATTGTCAAAGGCCTTTGCTATAAAATAAAGTTTGGTATTATAAGTGAAAGTTAATTTACTTGTGACTCTGCGCTACTCGTTAATTAACGTATTTCACTCAATGGTAAAAATATCCCTTTATCGCCAGAGCCGCTTACGCAACTAGATCACAACAAAAATTCTAAGAAAATTGACCCACTATCGTTTTATCCACACTCTCCTTCCAACATTACAGAAAAGATGGTTTGATTCATTATGTATAAAAAAATATGTTCAATTGAAGAAATGAATACGTTGCATTTTCCCATGTCCAGAGCCTTTATCAAATGTGAAGATAATTAATTGGACAATCATCATGGATAGCATCAGTAACGAAAAAATAGTAGTCCAATTAGTGTTGATATCTCAAAGTGATAATAGGTCTTAATCGTTTAATTTGGTTTAATTGGTTTAATTTGGTTTCTTCGCATTAGTTTGCTATTTCAGATAACCAACAGGAAATAGGCTAAACGTGCCGAATCCGACGACTTCTCATCACCTACACCGGACATTAATTAGTATCCCAATAATTACTTGTCGTCGGCCCCATCCTGGCCAAACCGCAAACAGAAACCAAGCTACACTGTTCATCTTTCTGTGCTTTTCGTGTTAGGTAATTGGGGTTGCGTAAAATTTTTTAAGGTTTATCGTTCCTCAAGTACCCCACTAAGCGCAATAGATCCCCAAAGTTTGCTCCAATTTTTCTTAGATGCAAACCATGGTCATTGCCTAATCGTGTTCCAAGAACACGTTTGTTCCCTCCTGGGTATCTGTGAAATCTTTTCAATTCAAAGTACAAAATTTGAAACAACACAAAATTCGCGAAAATTTACCATGAAAAGTCATACAGACTTACCCAAAAATGGTAGCACATGCTTAGTACAACACATCGAGTGAATTAAGGTCACTGCTTCAACTAGCACAAACTATCGCAAACTGAGCACTCCCCGCAATCACTATTTAACGCAAAGTCGAAGGTTGGACCAGGTATGCAGAAAATGGTCTCACGCACCTACTCCTTTTGTAAGGGTTAATGCTTGTACTCTTATTATTTTAAAAATCTGAGCTGTCGATACGTATGGAATGTTCCCACGGGTTGTTTACTCCCATATTTTGAATATACGAATTTGTCATTATATTGTGTGTTAATCTATTTGAATTATTTAAGGTGGGAGAGAAACTGTTTGCTCTCAAGTCCTTCGCACATTTTAAGACAGCGCAGTAGTTCCTTTAACCAAGCGAGTAATTGTCGAGTTTTTCCAGTAGGTCCGTTGGAGATATCAAAATATACTCGTACAATTATTTATGATTGCACAATGTGAACTTTCCTATTTGTAGACATATTTTTTTGAAAAAGATTCTCCTCGCATATTTGAAACATTAGGTATGCGCATGCGCAGACTGCGCAATTTTTTTACTTATAAAAATATTGATTCCATAACTAATTTTCCCTTGCACCTACACATAAATAGTCCGTTATATGACCTTTCGGGAAATACTAAGCAATTCATGAAAAGTACGCTAAAAGTTACCCTCTTTTATTTATTTTTTACCAACACCATTGATCCAGATAATCAAATAAGAAATGCTGCTGTGTGGTCTGTTATTGTCTTTAAGCCATGCTAGAAGTCCTTTCTAACGTACCTACTCTTCAGGGTAAAATACCCTCAAAAAATTATACCATTGAGTTAAAAATTACTAATGATATCGACATCTTTTGTTGTTAACCTTTATCTTTATAATTTGATCCGGCATATTTTTCATAAATTCCCCAAAAAATTGCTTTTCGAAGGTTTTTAATTTCAAATCCGCCAAAAAATTGCTTTTCGAAGGTTTTTAATTTCAAATCATTTTTAACGCTTTATACTAGTGTCCCCCCCCCCTCAACAGTTCCAGGGTTTCAGATCTCAGAACTTAGGGCACGCCTGCGGTTTAGATGCTAACGACGAAAAGAGATATTCTGGTTTCTATTGAGATTCTTCACTTAGAGATCAAATCTTTCCCAAATATAATTTTTAGATATTTATAGGTTTTTAAATAATTGGTTATCCAGGGTAGGTATCTCTCGGATAACGTTTTTCAAATTTTAATTATCGTTTGAGATATTCTTCAATGATTCCACAAGAAATATCCAAAACCCTACAATTATCCTATCTTAGGGCAAAGTTGCGAATTTTCGTGCTGAATAATAATCTAAAAATAAATTTATAATATCTTCAATGGTTTTGAAAATATGGCAAAAAATCGAAAATTTCTGATTTTCATTTTTAACTTTTTCATGGTAAACTAATTGTACTAGACATTTCTAATTAACACATTATTCAGACACTTTTTAATGGAGATTTCGAATATGGCATCCCGTTTTTAATAACTTTCAGGATAACAGAGAAACACGTGGCAACTTTAGTTTTTTTTATGGGCGCCGTTTTGGATTTTGACATTTTGAGATTAGGTCTTTTTTTCTCTTTACAACGATATATCACACATGGTGGTTCAGTATTACATTTTTTTTTTTAATACAATTTTCATTTTCTGCGAAGAGTGCTATGCAAAAACAAAATGTTCTATTGTTGTGAACAAAATGTTGACTTATTTCAAGCAGTGTCATTTACGTTTGTGGTAGTTTTATTGCTAAAATATTATTTATTCTTATGTATTTTGTTCTAATTTGAATTATAATTTTATTGCAAAACGAAGGTTCAATTCTGTTCATATGAAAATCGAATTTTCTCAACACATCTAGTTCCCTGATGCCAACGCTGCAACCGGACATATGCATCAAACTGTCAAACTTTTGTTCACAATAAAACAACGTTTTGTTTTTCCAAAGCACTCTTCCCAAAAAATTAAAAATTGTATGTTTAGCAAAAATGTGGTACTTAACCACCATGTGTGATATATCGTTGTAAAGAGAAAAAAAGATGTAATCTCAAAATGTCAAATTTCAAAATGGCTCCCATAAGAAAAACTAAAGTTGCCACGTGTTTCTCCATAACCTTAAAAGTTATTAAAAACGGGATTTTATATTCAAAATCTCCATTAAAAAGTGTCTGAATAATGTGTTAATTAGAAATGTCTAGTAGGATTAGTTTACCATGAAAAAATTAAAAAGGAAAATCAGAAAGTGTCGTTTTTTGCGATATTTTCATAACTATTGATGATATTTTAAATTTCTTTCCAGATGGTTATTCAGCAGGGAAATTCGCAACTTTGCCCCCATTTAACCAACTTTCTATCTCTTAAGGTAAACGAGATCCCCATAGTGGCACTCGAAAAATGGACACCGTGTATAGAACGAGGAAAAACTGTAAATCTGTGAGTGTGTGAAACACGAAAAACTGTTAGAAATTTTAAGAGACAAGGGTGTTCATTGGAGAGAAAGAAGATTGACCAGAAGCAGGAGGTGGCGCTGAAGGTGGATGGGAACATGATTGAATGGTTTGGAATAGAAAGCGGAGTTAGGTAGAGATTTGCCCATCACCAACTTTATTTAATATCTAGGTATGTGGAGGATATGGTGATAGGAAGTGCTGGAAAAGGAGTAAGGGAGTAACAATAGGTGGCGGGTTAGTCAGGTTTGCTGATGATAGCCCATATTTCCGGCTTTATGGTTCAGTGGTAGAGCGTTGGACTATAAATCTGGAGGTCGGGTGTTCGAACCTGGGGTGAGGTGAATTTTTCATCTGTGGCAGAGATGGGGAGATGGGACAGGGAGTTGTGGAGGAGAGATGTCTGCCAACTGGAAGACGACTAAACAAAAAAGTATATATTTTGTTGAAAGTCTGCTTGTAGACTCTCTGAAAATGTCCTAGTTATGGATACTCCCTAATAGACCCTGAAGAAATCCGAAGTATTTAAGGAGTCATCAAAGAATCTGTGAAGAATCTTTCTCGAACCTTTAAGAAAACTCTGAAGATTTCTGGAAGAATTCCAACAGGAATTTATCAGGAATCAATATATTTTATAAGGATATCTACATTTTAATGTTATATTTTCTTTACGAGCTTCTGAATCTTCGGTAATCTCAGAGGGTGCTTTAAAACTTTTACGTCTCTAAGAGGTAAATAAAAACGTGAGCAAAATTCCATTGCGTATCCGAGCATTTCCCACAAAATCAAGTTCGCCGGGAGACCAACCTACATTCTTCTAACAGAATATCTTTAAAGTCCCTAAAAAGTCTTCTAAAAAATCGTACCAAATCATATCATATCGAAGACCTTAGAAAGATTGTACGAATCCCCATAGAGCTTGTGAAGAAGGAATCGCTAAAGTCCCTGGGAAGAAAATCTGAGAAATTTGTGATTAATCTCTGAAAAATCTTCGAGAAAGTGCTGGGTTGGAAAGTATTTTGCAGAAAAAAAATTACTTCAACAACACCTACGAATACACGCGGAGATCAGTAAAAATATTTGAAGACTCACTGAGAAATATCCTTGAATAGTTTCTGAAGAATGCTTGAGTAGTGTATGAAGAATCTCTACTACAGCAAGCCTATGCAGAAGCTTTAGTGCGTATTCCAGATGACTTACCTCTCTGAAAAATGTTGCAAGAAACAAGACCATAGACATTTTGTTTATAACCGATAATAGGTCACGGAGGAAAGGGATAGCTGATAGGGGTCAATTGCTTTCGTTGAGATCTTTCATTAGAGTACCATGAAGAATAAAGGAAGCCAGTGAGCCCCCCCCCCCCTAATTTTTGATAAGGGGAAAGAGAGTGTCGTTTGGACAATGAAAGATAAAATCAATTTCTACCCTCCGTCATCCCCTGGTCTCACAAAGTTGATAATTTTACAAAGATGAGTATAGCATCCCCTAAAAGTAAAAGGCAAAATCTACGGTGTTGGAGAAACTTAAAGCGGGAGCTCTAGAGGTTCCAGCGCAATATTTCTTTTGGGTAAAAGCTAAAGCAGTGATACTAAGTTAATGCCCCCTCCCTCCCCCCTCTCCTTACATGCGGCTATTACGGTTTCATAATAGTCCAGGCTAAATAGATCTGAATAATGTATTTAACAAAAAAAAATAGTTCCCGACCCAAACCGGGATTTTCATGCAGGCGAAATTAATAGAAATTGTGCAAAAGTAATTTAGCAGCTTTATTTTACCGGATGAGGGAGAGGGGGGGGGTCGAAAGGGTGAAATACAGTAGTACTTTGCACTTTGTGGTCAACTTATCAATTTTAGGCGAAAATGTTACCTTCCGTAGTTATAAGGAATAAAAAAATTAGCAACTGCACTATTTCCACGTAGGTACCCTCATATTTTCCGAGAAATGTTTTTTTCGTTTTGTATTTTTGCGAAACAAAGCCGTAGGGGGTCCGAAATTTGGAGGGAACATAGCTCGGTTTATGATAAGAAGGAGCCAATAAGTTTGGGCCCGTAAAGTTGAGCCACTTCAGAGATATTCACGATTTTCGATAAAACCACCTCTTCTTCGGGGGGAGGAAAAAGTGTTTTACAGCTGATGCGATTGCGTTGGGCGTATAAATCGATCGAGATCTCGGCAACGGAATATCGTAGAACTTTCGGGTTTTCGCCATTATATTCGTACTATCGTGTTACTCGCGCATAGCTTAGCCTAAAATCTGAAAGCCATTCCTGAAGTTGATAAATTATGAGTTTATGTGTTAAAATAAGGAAATAGATGATCCGATGATAATAGCCATCGAACATTCGGGCGGAAGCAATCAAATAAAATGACTCAATGATGTCACTTTTAGCCTGAAAGCTACTGATCTGCCACATCATAAATGCAGTGATTTAGTTTTTTTTTTTTTTTATTATTATTTTGTTATTTTGCCATTTTGCAAAATCGATTTTTTCTTCAAACGTCAATAGAACATGCCATTTCTCAACTCATTTCATCACATAACAGTTTGACATTTTAAACGTCATGTGCGTTGGCATTGGCAGCTCCCTATAATATATTTCGTCCCCTTGGAGAAGGGGTGGTTTTTTCGAAAATCACGAATATCTCAGAAACGGCTCACCTTTACGGGCCCTAAAAAATTAGTAA